CTTGGATTATATGAATTATTCCAGAAAACAGGAAATATTTGAGAACTTTTTCCATTTATGCTCTGAACGCCTAGTCGCGCCTAGGCTACGCCTAATTAGGCAAGGCGCAAGTCAGGAGCCGAGCGCCTGCCTTACGCCTAGCGCCTTTTAGAACCTTGTGGTGGAGGTTGAAAGTTGAAACTTATCCCTTTATATGTGCTAAGTAGGTCCATATGCAAGGTAACTAAACACACAAGAAGAGTCATAATGAGGAAGAGGACCATGCGATAAGACATAAGGAGTTTAACTCACTAAAACTGGACTTAGAAGTCTATAATTAAAAAGTGGTATGTAGCACCATATGACTCCAAAATCTAGATGAAAGTTGTTTGAGCCTAACTGAGTGTATGAGTGAGGCTTGAGGGAGAATGAGGGTCAAGGAGAGTAAGCGGTGGGAATTGATTATGGACTGAAGAAACGGAGGTAGGGAAGAACAAGGTTGAGAGAACAGAGTCTTAGAGAGAGAAGTTGATGATTGTAGAGATAGAGTCTCAAAAATGCGATCCCCTCACCCACCGGAGTAAATGCCATATTTATAGGCTACATGGTGGTAGGTGAGTGGTTGAGTTACATGATGGGACAATGACATGACCACTGACATGTCAGGGATTTAGGTCATGCCTTTACCTAGGACATGTCAGAGGCCTGCCTATGACTGTGTGTAGGCCCCCGATGTGACTACCCCTCGGGAGGCGCGATGACGCTTTCTGCGGCTCTTTGGTTTGGTCCACACTTTGATCTTTCCACGTGCGCGTAGCTTGTGCCGCGCTCGAGGTCTTCGGTCGCATCGCGTCCTGACGGGTTTGGCGGCATCTGGGGTAGCGTCAGTGCGTTCCTCTGGCGCGGATAGGTCCGAGTCACATGCCCAACAAAAGTGATGGCTGAAACAATAAAGCATGAGATACACGTAGTTTATTGAATGAATGATCTCGACTTTAATGTTAAATTTTACTTGGACACAAGAGACAAAAAAAAATACATAAACAAAATGCGAGCTTCAAAATATCTATGCATAAGATATACCTGGTGTTTTGAGAAAAATCATCCACTATTATCAAAAAAATATCAACGACAATCAAGAGAGTGAACATTATAAGGTCGCCAAATATCAATATGCACCAAATCAAACAACCAACAACTTGTGAATCACTTGCAATAAAGGGCAACCACTTTTGCTTAGTGATCGAATAGCCTTGACAATGTCTATGATAATTAGAATTAATAGTACTAGTCCTAAAGCGAGACTTTTCAATTTAGGAAGTGATACATATCCGAGGCGATTGTACCAAATATCAAGGTCATGTAAAGTGGTATCAAATCTTATACAAGATAATGATCGTGAAAGATAGTGAATGAACACAGGGTGTCCTTTGTCATTCTACTTACAAAAATCAAATTAAAATATTTTTTAAGTGTCATTTAAATATTTTTAAAATGTCAAAGCGGCAAAATGACAGACCGTTTATATATGAGTAACTTGTACCTTAGCACAATTTTGCAAGGAAACAAACACATTGCACAAAATGGTATAGAAAATGATGACACTTGAAAAGTGATATTTTTCATCCCTGTTATAAGTTAAACCCATCTTTAATTGATGCAATCGTGGTTGATTTTATGATTGAAATTATATAAAATGTCCGATGTGGGATTATTAGACGTTAAATATGTTCGGTACTTTTTTTATGCAATTTGGGCAGTTCTTAGAGATTTTCCGGAATAAGCAGGCATAAGACGATCTTTGAAAGGGAGATGGACCATAATGACACTTGATTCATCATGGAAGCTACAAAGAACCCTTATGGGTCGAGAAGTGGAAACGAAAGAATATGTCTAGAAAGAGAAGAGAAATCACTATGACACCATAATGATTGAGAAAAATGTTCGATTTTTCGTTCAACGAAGTGTGAAATTTACATTATTCGAATTTACAATATATATACCAACAATCCTAATTACAAAACCGTCCATGAAATAAGTAGCATTACAGAAAGTTCCTTATAATAATGCTAGCTTACACTTGAGTCTTAACTCCAACTAAGATATGACTAATTGACTCAAACGATTTCTTTCCATTGTTGCAAGACTGGGGAAAAAAGACTGGAAGCTTATGAAAGGGAATCAGGGTAGAAAGTCAATCTCGACAAATTTGAAGTTTATTTTAGCAAGAATATTGGTGAAAACAGGAACCTTGAAATCGGCCAAAAACTGGGTAGGTTGGGCTAAGTACCTTGGCCTCCCAACAATTGTTGGGAGATCAAAGGAACTGGTCTTCTCCATCCTGAAAGAAAGAGTGAGAAGCAAACTTACTAACTGGAAAAGCAGATTTTTCTCTGATGCAGGGAAGGAGATTGCACAAGGCAAAGCGACTTATGCAATGTCTATCTTCAAGATCCCTAATGGTATAATTGATGATACACACAACTTGATGGTAAGTTATTGGTGGGGACAGAAGGGTAATGAAAAATGAATATATTGGAAAAATAGGGAAAGAATGTGCAGAAGGAAAGAAGATGGAGGCATTGGCTTTAGAGATATGAGGGTCTTTAACAAAGCAATTCCAACAAAACAGAATTGGAACCTTCAATCCAGACCTGAATCTTTTGTGGCAAAGCTGCTGAAGGCCATATTGATCAAGAAACTATTTTTGAAGCAAAACTTGGATGGAGACCAAGTTACATATGGAGAAGTCTTGTAAGAGCTTTAAACCTGATTAGATAATGGGTGTAGATGGAAGATTGGATCAGGGAAGGATGTCAAGATCTGGGGAGACAAGTGGGTGCCAAGTCTTCAAAGCTTCCAGCTTTACTCCTACAATCCTTTTAAGGACATTGATGCAAAAGTCTCATGCCTAATTGATCAAGAAACTAAAAGTTGAAGAAGAGATTTGTTAGAGTTGATTTTTTACTCAGGAAGAACAAGAGGCCATTCTGGCCATCCCTATATCCTCTACAATTGAAAATGACCAACTATGTTGGACTAGTAGTGAAATATGGGAAGTATAGTGTTAAAAGTGGCTATCACATGGAGATTGGAAGAGCCAATGAGGAAGATGCATGGGTCTCAGTAAGTATAAACGATGAGCCTTTCTGTTTGAAAATTTTTCCCGGGAAAGTAGCTCACAACATTGTGCTAGTGGGAGCAAAAATTTGTAGAAGGGTGAATAATAGACCTCAGGATCTAGGGTGCGGTTATTGCGGTGGAATTGGGAATGAGATTAGATCAATTAGGGATTTAGAGTTGAGAAACAAGTGGGTAGAGAGGGTAAGGGGGGTCGGCCGAAGCCTATAGAGAGAGAGAGAGAGAGAGAACTCGGCTAGGGAGAGAGAAGACAGAGAGAGGATTAGGGTTTTGATATTCTTATTAGGCTTAACCGTAGACCTGAATTACACCGATACTTATACTAATCGATAATTATCCCCTTTACTACCCAAAATGATAACCTAATCATACTACTCCCTTCCCAACAATAAACCAATCATAATAGCCGAATAATAAACCTACAATTACTACTAATTCTGAATAATTATAAAATGTGTTCATCATTGAAGAACTAAAGTGATGAATGCGCAAACTGTGGAATGAAAGAGACACTTAAACACTGCTTGGTGGACAACTATTCGGTGTCAAGGATTTGGTGTAAGACGCCAGTTGACAAGCTTTTCCTTCTGGCAAAAAACAAAAACCTGTGAAGATTTGGGAAAGATCATTAAAGAGGCAAATGAGGAAGATTTAACCAGATTCTGGTATCTTCTCTGGTTTTTAAAAAAGAAAGGCATAACTTCTTGTTCAACAACAAATTTATGCAAGAATGAGAAGTGTTTCTGATAGCTGACAACTACATCAATGATTTCTTGGAAGTTCAAGAGCGAGACAGACAATTGGAAAGAAGAACAAATAGGAACGAATGCAAATGGAGAAAGCCTCCTGAAGGATGTTACAAGATCAATGTGGATGCAGGAATCAATAATCGAGACCATCAGACATGGGATGCATTATGAGATACAATAGAGGGAAGGTAATTCTTGATGCTGCAAAGAGTGAAGACATTAAATGGACTCTTGAAATTACAGAAGGAAGAACAATGATCTTTGGAATTCAAAAGGCACTAGAAAGAGGATTACATCCTTATTGTTGAGTCAGCTTGCAAAACGTTGGTGAACAGATTAAAGAGGTACGAGGATGTAGAAGTGAATTGGGAACTATCTGCAGCATCAGCAGAGATTTGGGAAGAGAAGCAATCGTAAAGGAATGGACAGTATGGACTTTTGCACCAAGAGAATAAAATAGCATTGCACATTTACTTGCTCATTTTCCTTTTAAAGATGACAATGAAGTTTGTTGGTAGGATTTTTTGCCTCTGTGTACTGCTGATGCAGTGCCCTTGAGGCACACACTTTGATTAATTTTTCAAGAAACACCGATAAGCTTTCTCCTATAAAAAAGACCGACAAAAATTGATGATAAAAATGAAAGAGTTAGTGCATATCTTATCTTGTCGTGCATGCAAAACCCTGTCCTTTTACTTCATGCAATGTAATTAAGTTGGTAACAAGATATTTAATTCACAATTAATTTTAGTGGGAGATCGTAATTAAGCTTTAATTAGACACCTTTTCTTTGCTCAATTCCCTGAATCCAATGGCTTGGGAAAACAAAAATCTCTAAAACAGAGCTCTCATCAACCCCTTGTATTAACTAACCCCTAAATAACCCCTACCTTCTTTCACTTCCTCACGATTTTACGGCTTTAAAAAAACCCAAAGTCCCGAAAAAAAGATTTTTCTCTTTTTCTTTCCAATCAAATTTTCAACTCATTTTCTTCCCCTCTAACATTTGTTTTGGGCAAACTCCATCCTTTTAACCACCTAACAAAAAAAACAAAAAAAGAAACTATGATATTTTGCCTTAAATTTTTTCTAGTACTTCTCTAAGAACTCCGGCAACCTTTCGCAGGCAGGATGGCCTTGATTGGGAGATCTTCCTCTCTATCCGAACTCCTTCTCGGCCTCCTGTCTCTCCTCCTCCTCCTTCCCTGTTCTTCATCAGCCGCTCGAGTCGTGGCCGCAACCGTAATAAGAAACCCTTCCTCCCCTGACCTCCCCGTATTTCGGGAGGCTCCGTCCTTTCGAAACGGGGACCAATGCGGGCCCGCGTCGATCCACGTGGCGATGACCCTCGACATCAACTACCTCCGGGGAACAATGGCGGCCGTGCTGTCAATGCTCCAGCACTCGACCTGCCCGGAAAACCTCTCGTTCCACTTCCTCTCCGCCCACTTTGAGCCCGAGCTCTCGTCCAGCATCAACCGGACCTTTCCCTACCTGGCCTTCCGAATCTACCACTTCGACCCGAACCGGGTCAGGGGCAAGATATCCCGGTCCATCCGGCAGGCCCTCGACCAGCCCCTGAACTACGCCAGGATCTACCTGGCCGACGTCCTCCCCTTAGAGGTCGCCCGCGTCGTGTACCTCGACTCCGACATCATCGTCGTCGACGACATCGACAAGCTCTGGAACGTCGACATGGAACGAAAAGTCGTCGCCGCTCCAGAGTACTGCCACGCCAACTTCACCCCGTATTTTACCGACCGGTTCTGGTCCGACCGGAAGCTGGCCAGAACATTCGAGGGGCGGAAGCCCTGCTACTTCAACACGGGCGTGATGGTGATGGATGTGGAGAAGTGGCGGGAAGGAGGGTACACGAAGCGGGTCGAGGAGTGGATGGCGGTTCAGAAGAGAGAGAGGATATACCATCTAGGTTCCTTGCCGCCGTTCTTGCTGGTTCTGGCCGGAAACATCAAGGCCGTCGATCACCGGTGGAACCAGCACGGGCTCGGCGGGGATAACTTCGAAGGGAGGTGCAGGAATCTGCACCCCGGGCCGATCAGCCTGTTGCATTGGAGCGGGAAAGGGAAGCCATGGCTGAGGCTCGATTCGAGGAAGCCGTGTATTGTGGATTATCTGTGGGCTCCTTATGATCTCTACCGCTCCTCCAAGCATGCTTTGGAAGAGTGATTCTGGTTCGAATGTTTTGGGTTGCCGGAAGGGGAAAAAGAACGTTGCGATTTGTTGGAGATGAGAGGGAGCTACATTGTTTTAAAAAGGTGAGGAGTACTCTCTGGGGAAAGGAAATCTCTTTGCGTAAATTGGGAATTAGGTTCTTGTTTTTCTGACCTTAATCTTATTATTTGATGAGGGAAAAAACAGATTGAATGTGCATATTATTATAACTTATATACTGAAAATCTCAGAGGGGAGAAAGGAATCTATAGCAAAAACCCTAATTTAATCCAAGGATTTTCGTCGAGTAGTCTTTTACCTCCCTCGAGGGTTTTGTACATTTCGATGTTTTTTCCTCTTCTTCTATGTATGAAAGCTTCATCAAACGATGAAATTGGTTTGAAATGGTTGATTTGTATAATGAAATCAATATTTTTTTATAATTGTTGATCTCAAAGTTTGATATTAGGTTGATAACGTTATAATCTTTTGTTTAGTTTTTCTTTTTTGTGTATTTCGCTCTCTTTTTTCATTCATTCCGTTTGGTTTGATTAGGTTAAATCTGTAAACATTATTGAAGCACAGGCAAGAAAGAAAATTGTTTCAGTCTTTTCCCCCTCCTCAAAACCACAAAACAGAAAAAAGAACATAAGAAAGAATGCAAGTTAAACCATCTGGTTATCTCGGACTGATTCGACTCCAGAACTTCGTCGAAAAACATAACATTGTTAACAGAGCCAACTTGAAAGAAGAACAGTCGATTTGCCGGAATCTGGAATCGCAAAACTCAGGAAGGAATCTCAACCAAACTGCAGTCTCAAAATCATATGCCGTCTATGTATACAACAGGGTAACCTAGTATCTACGAGCACTGTGTCGGAAATAACCTGAGAAGGAAAGAAGGAAGCTGAAACGATTGATCCATCGCCTGCTGAGGAAGGGCTGAGGTTCAAGCAAAGACATCACACTTGTTCTTCCAGATATCATCACAACATTTCAAACATTTTGAAGGACTAGGTAGCAGCTGGACACTTCCCCAACGTGTTCCACAGAATGTAATCACCGCAAGTAACCTGTAATGATAAATCAGAGAAAGATTTATTAATGTCGTTTCATGCCGAGTTGGTAAACTACCTAATTGCATTGAAGGGCATGAAATAGACCAAACCATGTTTTTTCTTTAGAACAAAACTTGAGCCCCAGTAGTGGATATGGCTCCGAGTAACTTTTTTTTATCGCCATTGAACTCGGATTACTATGGAAGGAGGATAAACTCACCTGAGTTGAGAACTCCACCGGGGCTTTAACAGATGGATAGATGCTCACCTGTATCAAACATTGAATACATGAGATTCTTATTTAGTCCCCAAAAAAACTGAAGGTATATATTGGTTCATGACAAATTATGTCTTACTTTCAAGAGATTCTCTCTCTTTTCAGTACAAAAAGAAAATTGAGAAGGGGTCGTTTGGAAGTTGCGATTGCTAAATAGATGTATTGTTGAGAATGCATGTATAATATTATACATGTATTATCGAATTTGATGCATTGTAGAATACAACGTTTGATATGTGTGATTGTGTATGTCGCATCAGCTAAAAGCTGAGACAAAACAATCTCAACTCAACTATCTCAACAATCACAACTAAAAGTTGAGATATAACAATCACTCAAAATGAGTGATAGTTTCTGTCACATCACAGAAACAATCCATGTATTGTTTCTGCTAAAAAAACAAAAAAACGATGCATTGTAAACAATACATGCATAATGACAATCTCAACAAAACAATCGCAACTTCCAAACGACCCCCGAAAACTATGCCATGGATATTTTTGTGTTTCTGAAACTTCTCAACAAATGGAAGTTCATCAGACCATAACCACTAAGAGAGTTTAGAATTGAACTCACGGATTTTGGATCGATTGATATCCCTGACAATGAGGCTCCAGTCACCTTGAACGATACCTGAACATAATTTAGGATATAATTTATAAAGCTGCTGTTCAAGTTTAGTATATGCACTCTATTCAACAATTTCACACGTGCACTACCAGAACTGATTACGGAATCAAGAGAAGTTTGGTTTAACCAGCAGTAGTCAATCAACTCCTCCACGAAATAAGTTCAGAGAATATAAGCTTGGAAAGAAAAGAAGAAGAAAAAAACAATCACAACCATTAGGCAACCTACCTTAGCATAATTGTATGCTTGCCAGCAAAATGGTTCTTCCAGATCAACTGGAGGAAGATCCTTGTTCATTTTCTCCATCAGGAATTCGTCCACATTCACCATATTGTTTGTATTATCTGCCTCAACATCACTGTCCTCATCAGCGATATTCCGAGAGCCCAACTTAGAGGATGGTAGCCTCTGAATTTGCCAGGGGGCGAATTTAACTGTCCCAGGGAAAGTTGCTTCGATGCTTCTCCCAGAGAGACTCCGCCCGCTCACAATGATTTTCCATTCAACAGAGTGCTCAGTGTTTGAAACAACCCCAATAGAGGGGGTCCCATCAATAGAAACAACCCTTCTCCTAGGAAATGGCATTGTTACCGTACAGAACTCCATTGCTAAAGGACTCTTATATCCTTCCATTAAGTGCAGCTTAAACAAAAATGCACCTTCATCTTCAGAGACCATTGATAGCTGGTAAAATCCCTTTACAGGAGGGTCCCGTCTACAACTAGCTTGATAACGGACTAGAACAAAATTACCCATCGGAGGAGAAAACATCACACTCTGCTTATCCATACCATGCTCAGGAACTTGAGCACATGGATGAAAGGACAAAACTTCAACATTACTCTTGTTTAAGCCTGTCAAAGGTAGTGACACATCAGGTAACCCATCCAACTCTGCTCGGCAATTGATTTGTCCGGCTACTGATATGGTATCTGAGATGTCATCCCGATCGTACATAGCAGCATTTATTGTCTCATGAACAGTGAAAAGTATCTTTTGCTTCCCTTTGTAAAGATATGGCTTCCACGCTGGCTGCTTGACATCTGCTGGAGGCAAGTCTGATGAAGAAAAGCCGTTGGCCTTGATAGAAAATATATTCAGATAGTTAAGGTCCAAGGGAGTACCTGAAGAAAAGGATATACAAAGCATCTCCCTTAAAATCCATATTTCAGAATATCAATAAGTAATCCTTTGCTGAAACTAGATCAAAATAAGGTACCAACCGAAGGGCATTGCACTGTTTATGAAATATCGAAGCACATCTTTATCCAAAGGTTTGGACCCAGCTTTTGGAGCATCAGATGCAATGGATCCAGCAGCAGCAGTGCCTGAAGGGGTGGCAGCAGCAACTGGTGCAGCCACAGGTTTAGCCCTAGCTGCAATACCTGTTATGCCTATGCTCCCAGTCAATGAATCCAACAGTCCTCCCACAGATGGAGAAGCACTAACAACCACCTCAGGTTCCACCACATCACCAGTAATAATGTCGCCAATGGCATGGGCCACCATGAATGCCCTGTAACGATATAACAAAATCAACATAAAACACCATAGCAGAAACAAAGTTATACCCAGAGTTATACATCAAACCACAGTTGCAAGCAACTTACCATACCCTGTGATGGAAGGGAGATCAAGCAGGAGACTGGACAAACTTGGTTCTTCCCCAACCGTATCCCCACAACCAGGCTTCGAGCACAATTTCGCATAAGCCTTCAGATGCTTAGGCTCAACGAGTGGCAAAACGAGTATAGAATAAGTACCCTTCAAGTGCAGAATCAATGGCCACAACAAAAGTTTATTCTCTCCTCCCCCTTCTCCGCCAATTTGCAGGCTTATCACATGTCGTGTAATCGGATCATCAACCCAAGAATCCGAGCCTTGGGTCGACTGTGCCAGCCTAATCCCAAAACCTCTAGGCGATCCTTCCCTGCCAGAATCCAATACGGTAGAACTTGTAACCAATTCACTAAACTAGGTTGACTTAAACTCAACATTTCATCGAACTAATTCAAGGAACCACAGATATAAGAGCTCAACTCTTTACCTCCCCTTCCGTTCTGCAAATGCGGCTGCGAGTTCTGAATCATTTGGAAGAAACGGAGCTGAAGCGCACTTAACCGTATCCGCATGGTCTCCGGCCGAGTTGTCGCCTTCGGCCTTGCAAGCGGCCTTCCACCGTCTCTCCACCACCGGAAACTTCCTAACGAAGACGAAATACCGAAAGCACGAAACGAACGAATCAGACAAAAACGCCATGAGCATCATCGCATCAACCTACGGAGGATCGAGAGACCTACCTGGAGAAAACCACGGCGTCGAAGCTGTTGAGGATCCACAGAGCTCTGACGCCACAACCACCGGGCATCGCCTTCTCTCTTCCCGCTCCGTTCCCGCGGAGCTACTGCTCGTCAGTGGATTGATTCGTCGACGACCGGCTGCTGAGGATTCGCTGGACAAAGAGTGTCGAATGTCGATAACCACCAGAGCAAGAGAAGATCGAGAAAATCCCGTGGAGGGAGAAAGTAGAGAAAGAAGTGTATGCGCTTCTCCGGCGTCGTTTATAGCCTGCTCCCTACGCTCCCTGATCAGTTAATTACTTAAATCTCTTTCTCGGGAAAAATTTACCGTTGAGCTGATCTTGTTTAACTAGCATGTAATTAATAGCTGATTAAAAGTTAAGCCTAGCTTTGCTGAGCTATTTGTGCCATTAATGACAGATTTTGTGCAAGTGACATAAAGTGTTCGAGTTCACGACCGAATGTTGAATCGAAAAGTTAGTAATTTATAGTTCGTCGATTAATCGCAGATAATACACTAATTTGAGTCTCCACAAGTCAACAATACCACTCGATGCAATTTATTCATACAACAACACTTTGCAACCTTGCCACGCTTATTCAGAGCTAACACACCAAGGTGTAAATAAATAAATACAGGGGGAAAAAGGAAAGCAGGAAAAATAAATAACCAGGCTTTATGCACAAGTTCAACACCCTGACTTTCTGAGACTACACGGACTTTGTTCTCCCTGTGTATTCTACATTTCTACTACAGATCGATGCACAGGTAGGAGATGACAGAGCCTGCTCTGCGCTTGGTCCTCTCGCTCACCTTCCACTTCTCCACCAGCACCTTCTTTATGTTCGGGCAACCGGAGACCAGCGTGGCGATCCCCACGGCGGTTACACCAGGGCAGTAAACGACGTGGCAGGATTCCAGCATGGCGCAGTTCCTGACGAGGTGGGAGAGGCCGACGTCGGTGATCTGACGACAGTGGGAGATTACTATCTCTTTCAGAGCTGGACAGCCCTCTCCAAGCTCGGCAAGTGCCATGTCGCCCAGATTCTGTTAAAAAAAAATTGAGCCCTCCATAGTTCATGAATGGGATTATGGGGAAGCAATTCTGGTGAGATGGGGGATTGGAATCATGTTTATATACCTGAAGCACGCTCACGTCGAGGTAGCTGAGGTCAGGGCAGCCTCTTGCAACTGCTATTATTCCGGCGTCGCCTATTTGATGGCAGCCACTGACGTTTAGGGTCTGGAGGGAGTGACATTGGCCAATGGATACAAGGGCCTCGTCTCCCACCCTGATCAACAACACAAGAAGATTACATGGAATTATTAGCTAGTGTTTACTGTTAGCTAGCAGCCAGCCTAGCACCAAATGAGTATACACTTGTTCCTGCTGAAAAATTATGCCAACGTGACGGGCAACTCATGGTGTTCGTTATGGTTATGCCAACAGAAACAGAACAGCTCGATGAGCATTGACAGATCAACAAGGGCATGGGGAAAAAGTAAATAGGGTTTGTGGAGGCCCAAAGGGAAAAAGGAGGGGTAACGGAGGTGGTCAGGTGAAGAGTACTTTAACCTGTCACAGAATCTAAGGCTAAGATCCGCAAGTGATTTGCAGTTGTCGCCGATGGCCATAATACCTTTGTTCCCAACCTGCGGCAAAGAGGTATGGAATGAAGAGAAAGTTGTAAGGAAATCGGTAGCCACCAGAAAGATCAATCCAAAACAGCTACACAATTGACATTCGACAATTAATAAGTGACGCTTGAAAAATCAAAAGAGTACTTAATTGGATTCTGATACTCTGACAAAGAGGAAATGTTCATCCTACACTAGTAAGTCCAAATTTTCAACACCAAACAACCACCAACAAGAACTAAAGCCAATATTTTATCCAGCATTTAAATAAAGGGTAGAAGGCCTACGAATTCAATCTACTTCAAAATCATTAGATAAAAGTAAGTTTGCAAACTTAAATATATGTAATATGGACTGAGACATATAAGTCCAGCAGAGAGTGAAGGAGAGAACTCATAAAACTAGGAATATGTTGTGGAGAGACCTCATAACACCGACGAATATGAAGTTTCTTCAAATTTGTGCACCCCTTGGCTATGCTACAAATGGCATCATCTCCAATGCTAGAACAATCTACCAAGTGAAGGGCCTCCAAGAACTTACAGCCCTTTCCAATTTCATGAAGAGCATTATCACCGATCCTTTGGCAGTATAACAATGCCAACTCAGTGAGGCGCCTGCAACCAGTTGCAAGCAATGTTTAATAAAGCAAAGCTGCTAAAGGGGTGTGTCTTAGGTGATAATATACAAGCAGCACACAATATACTAAATTTGGAGGCAAGCAGATAGAAAGAAGTGTCTAACTATGATCCAACAGGTACAACAGAAGAGTTAAGGGAACATACGTGCATGATCGTCCAATGGCTTCCAATCCCACTGATCCAATATTGTGACACCCATTAACTTCAAGATGTGTGAGTTCTTTACAACCCGTGGCAATTGATCCTAAACCCTGGTCACTGAGGAAATAGCAGTCGCTCAGAGTAAGATTTTTCAACTTCTTAGATCCAGCTCCAATAGCACACAATCCCCTGAAATGTAAAATAAACTGTCAAATTTCAGCAATCATGCCATACGAGCTTCTGACGCGACCAAATCATTCAGTGTTTCTAAGTTCTTCATGGCCTGAATTTCTAGAATAGAAAAGATAGAACCAAGAGGGGCATCAAATTTAAAGTAAACGACACGTTACAAAAGCTTGTCAAGACAGACCTACTTTTGCAGAATAGACCAAGTAAAAATAAGCAAAAGATAGCTAACCTGTCAGTAAATCGCTGGAAGCTGTACAAAGCCAACGCCTCCAGTGAAGAGCAATATTTTCCTACAGCTATAAGAGCGTCGTCAGTAACATTAATGCATTGCAGCTTCAAGACTTTCAGAAGAGGGCATCCTTTGGCAACGGCAAGAACCCCATCATTGTGAATGCATTCAGAATCCAGTGACAAGGTTTCCAGGGATTTGCAGTGGGAACCCACTGCCACCAACGATTTGTCTGTTATCTTTGCACAAGCTGCAACCCCAAGAGTCTTTAGCGATTTCGAGCAGCCTTCAGCTAGCTCAACCAGACCCACGTCACTCAACCCTTCACAAAACCGCAAATTTAGTTCTTGTAATTGCTTACAACACCTTCCAATAGCAGCCAGACCTCCATCACCAACATAGCAACCCTAATGGAGGAAGAAAACATCATTACTAGGCAGAAACAGTTTATGTTCCCTTTCTGTTGACAGATGCAGACTGCTGAAGGTACCAAAAGACAACGAAAGCATTGAAACCACACTCCAGATCATTGTCAGAGACCAATTCAAGAAATTGCGACAAGCAATGCAATTTATAAAGAGAAACATCGATCAGAATGCTCAAGAGAAACAAGGGGAAACATCGATTGATGAAGTAAACAACTTGGAGACCTACCAACCGAGTATCAACCATAACACATTCAACCTAAAGTTCTAGGAGATGAAAATAGAAGTTGGTATACCTGCAAATCCAGAGATTTCAAGAGCGAGCATTTCAAGGAAAGAGAGACTAAACCCAGACTTGAAACATTGGAGCACCAGATTAAGCTCAAACGTTCGAGAGCTGGGAACTGATCACTAAGTGTAATCAACCCAAGATCAGACAAACAGTAGGAATCAAATTGTTCGGCTTCAGGCATATCCTCTTGAAACACGCTGTGCAGCTTGAAATAAGACGATCCTGATTTTCTTCTCTTCCGCCCCTGCAGCATTAACACGCTTCAAAATCAATATCCAGAGAAGGGGATGCGACGCGATTGAAGAACATAATCACACAATTGAAACTAGATCGCCGAAACCGTACAAGCTGGGAGGGGAGAGAAATGGAGAGGCGCTCGTCGATGTGGATGGTTTTGATGTTGGGGAAACGGCTGGAGAGTAAGTGGATGAAGAAATCGGGGTTGCCGGAAGCGCCAATCCGGAGAGTAGTACGGCTGAGGCGCTCTAAGGAGAGCCACCGCTTGCAGACGAGGGAGCAGGCGTCGCGGGTGTGCTTGGAGTCGAGGCGCCGGAAGATCTCGAGGACGATCTCTTCGGGAAGGAGCGTGTTGATCCAATCGTGGCATCGCATGGATTTCGTCCGGGGAGACATTCGGCAGTCGGAGACGGCGAGCGGTGGCCGGGAAATGAGAATTTCGATCCGCCGGAGAAGAGCGCGGGAGTTGAGGGATAGAAGAAGGGAAATTTGGGATGTCGGCTCGGAACTCGGAACGATCGCATTTTACGACGACGACGGCTAATCGGTAGAAGTGGGCCAGCCGGGAAGAAACGGAACGAGATAAGTATATATGTATTCCAATTTTTGGGTACTATATATTTGGTTTGGGTAATGCATATTTTTTATCTAATTTTTTTATATTTTTTTATATTATTCAAATCTATTAAAATATTATCAATTAACTAAATCTACACCTTTTATAAAAGCAACTATTTCGAATTTCCGTCGCTCAGAGCGTTTCTAAGAAGGACACTGGAATTCGAACCATGACCATTTTAAAGAAAAACAAGGATAATAACCAATCACACTAAGTACATTTGTTGTATTTTTTTAAATTAAAAACATAAAATAGTAGAGAGGAAAAAACTCTTCCCCCATTTCAAATTCCTTGCTCCATGAGCGTTTGTAGGAAGGGTAGAATAGGGAGTCAATTTTTCTCTCTTTCCTCTGTGGAACGGGCCAACTTACCGTACACATGCGAATTTAAACGGGTCTAGGAGTGTCGATTTTTTTTCTTTAAGCCCTTTTATTTCTCCGTCGTGATAAAATATATATGAAAATGCAAAAATAATACTCCTTTTTATTGTTAAAAATAAAAAATTTAACAATAAACTAATGCATGGTATCTAATGGGCTAACCGCTAACCATAAAATAAAAGAGTTGAATGGGCCTGACTTACATGGGATTTGGCCATCAAGTAAAACAAATGAACATCATTGGTTTGTCATTCTAAAACAAGCTATTTTCTCTGGCATAATATATATTATGCTATTATTTTAGATCTTAGTAGCTAAAATATAATGTATTTTAAAGTTATTCAATGGTTCAACCTCGACCAACCCAATTAGTCCAATTTTTATCATTTTAAATATGTATTTTATAATTATTTTATATCATAATGATCAAATTATAGTGTATTTTATAGGGAATCGTATGGTATTTGTTAGTAAAAAATTCAACATAAAGATCTATTTTGTTATTTTAAACATTAAAACGATCCTAAACATTTTCAGTTCCTTTTGAATTTCTATGGTTTTATTCCCGAATAAGCGATGTGAAAATGGCGAATTGTAGTTGTTTCTTTTCTTTCGCTATTTTTTATTTTCAAATAGAAAGTTTAAAAGTAAAGAATAATTAGAATTTGGCATTGGTCGGTCAAACAGGCTGAATTTCAAGTTTTGGCCCGTTTGTTTTATGCATTGCAAATTTATTAGCATGTTGATGGAAATGGCTTGGAAAAAAGACATATAAGTTGTAGCTTTGCAGAAATGTCCTCAAATGTTTGAATGCTTTGTGAATCAGGTTCCGTGACTTTTGTGATGGTGTATGTGCTTGACGATTGCTCGATGTTGTAACTACTTAATTTGATAGTAAATCTTTTGATTTTCCCTATGAGTTGTGATACTAGTTCTGGTGGTTGCATCACGTTGTCGTTGTTGGCCTGTAAAAGTTGTTCCGTCGTGGTGCTAAATACCTTTCTTTCTTTTTAAACAAATTGTGTAGTAGTAAGATGAAACTGACCACCCATGAACGCTACGCTTATTATGGTTTGTTCTTACTTCCGGTGGTGAGAAATTGTGAATTGAGAATCATATTCGCCTACCGCACTGTGTCTGGCTGGTGGTTGCTTACTGTGCTCTCTAGAGTTATGAAACAGACTACCCATGAACGTTACCCTTAAGAGTCCATAACTTTGCGAAAAACCAAATTTTGGCAATCAAATGTGGTGGATGTGTGATGATTTTTTATGGCTTAATTGTTTGTGAATTGGATATCTGATCTTTGTATGATTAGAGGGGATGTTTGCTTAATAGAATAATCCATTTTAATTCATGTTTATTTTTAACATGAACTTTAGCAGGAGTGGAGCTACCTTAAGGCTTGGGGGGCCCTGGGCCCCCCGAGAATTTCGTAGATCACGTATAAATACATCGAGAATTTTTAAAATTATGAAATAATTTAACATTAATATAATTATCAAAGTGTGCCACAATCTATCAATGTAGTATCTTCTATCTAGTGGTCTTGTTGTTGCTATTTCTTATGGTTGTACACTGTTTCAATCCACAGTGGCAGCAAATTTATTAGTTTTTCTAACTTTTCTTTAAATTTTGCTTAAAGTTAAACTTAAATACTTAACTTTAGTTCAGCTTTTGCTTAAAATTAAACCTAATTACTTAACTTTAATTTAGTTTCTGCTTAAATATCGATTTTTATTTTGCAAATACTAATATGCATATACAATTATTGTTCAATTACAATAACAAAGAATAATATGATACAAGCTGAAAAAGAAAGATTAGTTTTTTCCTTATCATTTATTATTTATCTTTATCTTGAACATACTGACAAAAAAATTTAGTTCATATTATATGTTTAGATTTTTTAATTATCTTAAATAATGTATGCACGATAACCGTAATAATTTTCGTTCATATAATATATTATTATTGTTTTAACATTTGACGGATCCTATGAAAAAAATTCGGCCCCCCGACTTCCGAATCCTGGCTCCGCCAGTGATTACTTTAGTAACTCAAAACCTTCGAGACACATATCACCTACTGCATTGTATCATTTTGCCTGGGTGCTTGCTGTGTTGTCAAACTTCTTTGTTGCTGCTGCATTTACACTAACAGGAGAGTTAAGAACCCATGAATGTTTCCGTTTGACACAAAAAGGAGGACTTGCTTCTAAATCGTGCACTAAAGATGATTGGAGGAAACATCTCTGTTGCAGTTGATATACTGGAGACCAGAACAAAAGCAACGTATAACATCAAAACCAACCATCTGAACTATTAGCATTGTTGCTTTACTCTTTTTTAGTGGTTGAGTCTCCTTCAAAAAATTTAGTTTGACTTTAGAAAATTTTGCTTCTGCAGTCCTGTCTTGCCACCAACGTGTTCAGTAGATGGAGATGGCAGAGGCGAAGGCTATTTTTGTGTTGTTGTTGCTGGTTTAGGGATCGGTTTGTGAAGAAGAGGGAGAAGAGAGGGGGAAAGGGAAATGCAGGAGAGGGGGATAACTCTTTTCTCCGACAAAAATGGAGTGAAGAAAGGAACTATGATCAGTAAGGATATGGTTATCTTACATAACGGTCTCTATTCTGTTTGAATTGAGCTTGGGAGGCAGTGATAAGGACGAGTTGCAACCAATTCATAGTGAGAAGAGAGCTATGAACTGTGATCATGTCTTACTTCAAGTTAGAAGGTAGTTTCAGTATAAAGATTATTTAATTTGACAAGTTGTTTCATCCATGATTCTTGGTAGTTTCAGTGCCATTCTAGCCATTGTTTAGTCTGTAATTTTTGAGAATTCATGTGCGAGTAATGACTTTCACTTAGCTTCAACTATTATGTGTGTATTTATTGGCATGTGATAGAATTTTCTTTTCCTTTTCTTTGAATTCAGTTTCATACTCTAATTTTATCATTTGTACATAGGCAAATCATGCTCGAGATGACAACTCGCTGATATGGCTGGTGCAAGGAATGAAGCCATCATTAGAATTCAGACCGACAACGGGGAGGGATGCCCAGGACTAACTCAATGATGATTGATGATGGTATAATAAAAACTGCAGTCTGCATTAGCACCAATTTCTATGCCTAAGTAAAGTTATTCAACCCAGAACTCTGCTTAGTGCTAAAAATTGCGCTCACCAAACCTTGATCCTGTTTGACCCACTTCTAAAGAGTCAAGATATATGACTAATCCTCCCCGTTCGTATTTTCTTATTGACTCTTCCTGACCCTTTAGGTTGGGGCGGGGCGGGAAGAATCGGATTAGTGGGTCGGTCCTAATCAAATGGAATCTCAATCCCTTCACTCTCACTTGCTTTCTCTCCCATTCCACAAGTGGGTAACATACAGTAATCCGGCCAACGGGCCGGGTCATAAGCTAGTCTTTAATAATGTATCAAAATATTAGCTATTTATAAGTTATTGTTAATAATTTTGCAACTTTTTTCTTAGTTAAAATACTAAAATTTTGCAATGTTGACCTTCATGTGTCTCTTCCAAGTCAGTATCATGTTGCCAAGTCAATATTACTAACAAAATTGTTAACTAAAAGTTAACATTTGGCTAATTTTTAGTATTTCGATAGGTTTGAATAATATAAAAGAATCTGAAAAAGGTTTGGATAAAAAATAGACATTACCCTATATATTTTATGGTAGGGAGAATACGGTTCGGAAGCTGCCATATGAAACTTACGCGGCATCGAAGCATGCCACTCCTTCCGAAAACTATTATCCATCCAACTTGTCTCACACATCCACTCAGTGACGGAGGCAGGATTAGAAACTACCCTTGTCTTCTTTTCAAAATATAAACATATAAATAATTAATAATTAATAAGTATAATTAATAATATCAAGATATTACATTCATAAATAAAGAAATAACCTACTATACAATTATTATTTGCGTAAACTATAACAATGAGTTTTCATATTCTAAAATATATGCAAAATATATCCATCGTCTACACTCTTAAGAAAGTCTCTTTCAATGTATCCCACTAAACAATCATTAGCAAATCGATCACCAATTCGACTTCGAAGCTAGTTTTTAATATAGCTCAAGCTAAAAAATGCTTTTTTTTTAACTTATAGTTGCAACTGGTAGAATCAAAACCACCTTTAGAAGCAAATAAACTTAAGGAAATGACATACACTTATGTCTCTACCATTACTCAAGATAATTCATCATGAACAAACAGTTGTCGAATAATAATGTCATGAATGGAACCAATAAATTAATTAGTCTTTTTGTCAATTCATGAACAAGTAATGAGTTGTGGTATAGTGGCAAAATATTCTTATGTTACGTGTAAGAGTTGTATTTTTTTCGAGCCCCAAATTTTACCCCTGTCCTGGAACAAGGGCAAAGGTGGTTGGCTCCGCCTATGCTTCCGTTTCCCCATTTGACGACTTAGGTTCATAGCTAGTTGGTACCCGGACTTCACCGTATACTAACCCGACCCATCCTCACGCCAAATCGGCCTATCCTTCACAAAAGTTCGGGGCAAGACAATGGATTGGCTGGCCCTGACGACCTCCGGCGGAAAACTTTTCTCCAAACATTAATGACATCGATCCCCCTTCACCTTCAATAACTATAGATGACATTGTTATGCCTTTCTAAAGTGGTTCATTATCCATAGCACCGGCGACCTAGGATAATAGTCGGACACTCAATTTTGCAGTGGCTACAACAATATCTTGACCACTCCCGACCTGCCATCTTAATCCAGATACCAGCAATTGAGCACCATGGAGCACACTCTACCAACCCCAAGATGACCTAGATCATTTCCTTGTTGTAAGGATGACCCATGTGAAAAATATTTTCCTTTATAAATCCGAGCAAACAAAGACTCTGGTTCTTCAAGAATTCGCCACCGAATTTTGCTAGAAGTGCCTAGTTGAGCTGTTATAAGCGATGGAACCCTAACCCCCCTTCATGCTTGCTTAGACACAATTTCTGCCAGGACATCCAGTTGATCCCCTCACTTGAATTACCTCACCAAAACCAAGCCATATGCTTATCCAGTCGGCGACACAACGACACTGGGAGCTTAAAACAAGACATCACATGTATTGGCAATGCCGTCGCCACTGATTTCAGCAATACCTCCTTGGCAACCCAATATAGATGACGTTGCTTCCAACCTTGAAGCTTTTGCAACAGCTTTTCCTCCAGGAACCGAAACGTGTCCGATTTTGGTCATGCAATGAGCGTCGGTAGCCCAAGATACCAATCCTACTCACCTACATCTTCCACACCCAGTCTTTCTGCCATCGACGCACACATTCGCTGACTTAGCTAGGTTTATCTTTTGGTCACTCAACATTTCATACTCCGCAAGGACCCGGATTAAGCTATGTTTTTAGTACCATATTAAATTCACTTTATAAAATTACTTAACTATAAAAAAGGGACATGTACCTCAAAAGTTTCCGACATTCTAGCCGATTCATCGATGAAAATTCAGAAATCAAAGTTGCACACATGCAATGGTTAAATGTCTTCAAATATATTTAAATATAAATATAAATTGTAAGTAAATTATTTTGAAATATATTATATACGCTTACATTCATATTAAATTAATATTTATCAAATTTTATAAACCGACATGAACTGATGCAAACCAATTGTACCACCAACCGAATCATATCTCTTGCTAAACCGCTACAACGATAAAAATCGATTTGACAACATTGTTCCACACATAATACCCACGGAAAAGGCAAATAGCTCTAGTGGGCCAAAAAATCTCCCATTTGGCTGCATACAAGAATATAAAAATCATTATAAGAAAAAAAAAATATAAAGATCAACCCAGATTGACTCTTCCGCGAGAAAGTCAAATAAGACAAAAAATAATAGTTTCCGTTCAGTATTTTTCAGACACAAAATAAAGTTAAAATAAATACCATTTAGCTGCCTGCTCATTCTTTTTGTTTGATCATCTTTTCCCTCTTTCCCACATTCTTGATTTCACTTTTCAGTTTTCACACAGCAGCACCTTTCTGGGCGACCCACCGCCTTAGCGAAGCCGGCCGGCTTCTTTCTCCGGCACTCTTTCCATCTACGCCTCTCCCGCTGGCCGGCCTGCCTTCTGCGGCCGTTCTCACTTTCTCTCTGTCCCATCCGTTTGAGAATTTTGCAACGTTTACCAGCCATTTTCTCTTTTTTCTCCGATTTCCTCACCTTTGCTCAAGATTTTCCACATCGCCTCTCCTTCCGTTTAGCTTCTAGAACCCATTGCCTTTGTTAGCACTTTAGCAGCTTCTTCGCCCTTCTCCTGTTTGTTCTCCGGCGCTGTTTCTCTCTCTCTCTCTTGGGTTTCTTGCAGCTTTTACCAGCTCCCTCACCCTCCCTCGCTCAAGCCTTGTACTCGGTTGAGATTTCAAAACGAAGGAAGCTAGGTCTCGCTTAGGGTTTGGGAAAGGGTGGAAGCTAATTAGTGCCCGATCCTATCTTGACATTTCTTTCTGATTTGCCAAAAGAAATCATGGCTCCAAAATCAAAATGGAAAGCGGGTGGGGTGAAGAAGAAAGGACCCAAAAGAATCCCTCTTCCGGCGGTAAGTAAAACACACTCTGGATTTGAAGTCTGCAGTAAATGCAACTGATCAATGTATGAAAAACGGCTTTTGGATGTATCCCAAGTTCTCACCAATCGTAATCTATTGAGACGGATTTTGTTGGTTGCCATAAATAGGGTTTGGAGCATTTTGATTCTAGCCATAAACATATGATGCATTGTGCAAAACTAATTTGGTTCTTGACTGTACATAGCAACCAAGTGATAATTTTACATGTTCTAGCTAGAATCCAGTGATTGATACCTATTGGGAGTAGTAAAGCAATTACTCACCTCTTTTGATCCTGGAAAGTAGAGAACCCAACTAATTTTCTACTACTCTGAGTTTGTTTGAATGCTACATCATCCATGTATATACATGAACACTTGGAATTTCTTTTAGGATCTATTGCCTGGTGCGCCTCTGAGTTTTGACTGGAGAGATGGATTAAACGGGAAGGCAATCATTTGTAGCCCCATAATGACACAATTTGAGGAACATGGAGGTGCGTTTTCTTACACGAGCTGCTTGCTTTTCATTAAGCCCCCTGCTTTCTGTCCTAGATTGACATGCTTTTATTGTTACAGTGTAGTAAAATGTGCTTGATTTAGTTTGCTATTAGAGAAAAGAATCCTTTGTGATCCAAAACGTACGCTTAGTTTTTGATGCAATGTCTTAGGCGATTATTTAATGATGGGAGTGCTTTTAATTGGCCAAGTAGCTATTGTTGGATATTACTATTGATTACGTTATGATGTTGACTAATTAGGTAATGACTAAATGTTGGAATAGTGAAGAGAATGGCGCAAAATTTAGAGACACGATTAGAGGGCTGTTTGGGATTATAATAATAATAAGGTTATGTAAAAGATGGAACACCACACATGAACCGATAAGACATTCCTCGGGAAATACTTAAAATTAGTTAGTTATATTCCTTATTGAATGCGATGTGTATGCATGCAGGGACATGCTGTCACCATGCTATTGCTATTGGCCTTGAAGCAGCTTATAACATAGCCACAAAGAATGATGAGAATCCAATTCTGCTATCTGTTCAAGAGCTGATTGAGAACGTTAGGCCAGACCCAGAATCGAAAGGTATATCAAGCCTGAAGAAGGTTGTCCGATTCATTGACGACGATGGGCTGAGCGAGGCACACGAGTATCGCCCTTACAAATCACTGCTTTTTGAGCCCCAAAAGAAGAAGAATGTAAGGAAATGTTCAACTCTGTATTCCTGCTTCCTTCGGTTTTGTCTTGCTTTTTTGAATGGTTCTCTGTATATGTATATGTCCACAGCCAACAAAAGCCATATGCTTCCAAGACTTCAAAGAACACGTTCAAGTCGACGAGAGGAAGATGTTACAAGAGCTCGTACAGAGACCAGTAGTTGCCGTTTTGGATGCCACCCCTGAACTTCAAGTGTGGAACAAAGCTGTGAGTTATAATATATTGGTCATGTCAGTTTGGTTTTGGATTGTCGATTTTATCTGAAACCAAACGAGTAAGAAGTTCGATGGTTTTGGGTTTTGGTTTTAAACCGTTATCTAATGGTTTTGGTTAAAACTGGAAAAAAAAACAGACAACACTTTAACTAAGAGAATACCCATCAACAACACGCGGGTCGTCACCAACTTATTCGTAGTAGAATTTTTTCACATCTTCGTGCTTCTTGTTGTTTTTTTCATGACTCCATTTTCGGACTTCCCAAATTACGGGAATTGAGGGGCCCTATGGGTTATTAGTTAATAGAGAACCAATTAGAACCTTAACCAATTAGTCCTAGCTAGTCATGTCTTTCTTTCCATAGTGTAGTTCTGTTTGTTGCTTAAAGAGTAAGACCTGATATGATATCATTTGTTCTGAAATGTGTTGATTGAATGATAGTTTATGGAGGCAGAAGGTGAAGTAGTTTTCAAAGGTGTTGACCCACAACCAGTTGAGAAGGCCAATCTTCATGCTATCTTGATAGTTGGCTATGGCACTGTGAAGGGCATTAATTACTGGATTATCAGGAATTCTTGGGGAGATGGTTGGGGAGACAATGGATATGGATCGATTGCCAGAGCCTCAAGCCGTGAAGGAGGAGAATCTTTATTCTACTCTTACTCTTTTATTAAGGTATTTAATTATTATCCTTATTCAAATAATCGTTTATACATTTGGTAATTACTATTTAAGTGGAATTGCAGGCTGAAAAAAGGGAGAACAAGTCCAAGTCGAAGCTGAAGCAGTAATGTAATCAACTGCATTTGAGGCACAAAAAAGTGAAAAACAAGGGTTTTGTTGGAGTGGTTTGGGACTTTGGGTGTTTGCTTCTTTAATTTGCAGGCGCTCCGTCTCTCTCGTTACCTTGATTAGTGTTTAGGTTAGATCGATTTTTGTCGAGATCAGACTATTCACTATATTAATATGTAGGTAAAGTACTTTTCTTCCAATCATATAATCAGCCATGTAAATAAACTTTTAGTTGACTGACAGACTATGCAATCAGACTTAATCATTGCCATACCACTAAGGTTGTCAAATGTAAAACCCCCATCCAGGGGGCCGGTTCAACCGGGTCTAAATATAATCGGTCATCTAAACAGTTGGAGTACACTTGGTTTGAACGGTTCTATAAAAAATTTAAAACTGGGTTAGCCAATCAAAACCGGGTTTTTTTTTTACCTACCAAAACTCGGTTTGAAAATGATGAATGATAATTTTATGTTATATATATATTTTCTGGATAAATAATTGGGTAATTTCTTAGCCTTTTGCTTGAGGCCTCGGTGTGTTTCAGGGAAGTTCTTGCTTTTCTTACCTGTTAAAATGTTAGACATTTTTTTTGGTTTGGAATGGCGATGGTGGGGAAGGGGAATGAGATCCCAAAGAGGAATTTTTTTTTTTTTTCACTGCTTTGTTGTTGCGCGGTTTAAATCCAGAGAAGGATGGGAATCGCTAGATCTACGTCTCCACCGCCAAGCTCGCCGTCATCGACGAGCCGGAACGACCGAGTCTCTCGCCGATCCCTGCCGCTGCTGATCCTGCTTTCACCACTCCGGAGGCGAAGGAGCACCGGTTGCCGAAGCCGGAGACCTGTCCTCCCGCTCCGCGATCCTCAAGGCGACCAAAAAGTTCCGGGCGGCCAGGGAGTTCTTCCTCTCGCCGGAGCTCGAAGCCGCGCTCGTCGTCAACGTCTTCACTGCCGAGACCGCCCGTCGCGCTCCTCTCTAGTGCGATCTCCGGCCTCTCAAGCTGCCGGCGGATCATCTCCCCACAAGCCTGAATCTTGTCGGTTACCATCACAAACGGTGTGGCGGTTACACTTCTTGACCGACGGTTCAGATAAGTATTCCTTTATTATTTATTATTATTATTATTATTATTATTTCTTTCCTTAATAATTATCCTTCATTCTTTATTTGTTTTTAATTATTCTTTTCAAAAAATTCATTTTTCTCGTATGTATCTGTTACCTTCTTTTTAAATTTATATACTTGCATATTGTTAGGTCCCCGCATCTAGGTTGTACCTTTTATTAAATAGAAAAAAATTTAGGTGTTTATCGGGTGGTGCCGGTTATCTAGAGTTTTCCGATGACCTGGTATTCTATCTCAAGGGCGAATTGATGCCTTGTGTCTATGTTGACTTGTTGGCTCTTTGGCCTGGATTGTCCTAGTAGGGACCTTTGTTTGCTCATTTTGCAGGTGAAGATTCAATTGCACAATAGTTGATCGGTGGCGTCTGTCTTGTCCAATAGGTGGCCCTTTTGATGAGATTTGGTGGAGCACTTGGAATTGACGCCCTTTATGTTGAAGGAAACCCTTGAACACTATTAATATTTAGTTTGATGGTGCGGTCAAGTATAGTCATGAAGGTAGTATTGGCTTTATGGGTTTCCAATCGTCAGGTAATATCTTATTTGCTTTCGGAAAGAGTTATGAAAGATTACAACATCCATTTGTTATACTGGAGGCAATACAGTGGTGTCTGACACATTCCTTTGTCTCTGTCAAATTTCATGGGGATTCACAACAATTGATACGGCGGGATGGTGGGAGACGACTTGGCGCATGATCGGGGTGGAGCGATACTCGAAGACGCAAGGGAGTTGGCATCCCAATTCAGCTTCATTTCGTTTTGTTTTGTCTCTCATCGACTTAATAGGGCCGCCCATCTTGTGGCACAAAAAGCCCTTTCATCGGGAGCTCGACGATTAGTCGACTCCCGCGCTCTTCTTTCTGCTATGTATGACTAAACTGTTACCGCTGACTTTGACAAAAAAAAAAAAAAAATGGGTAATTTCTGAATATAAATTAGTGAGATTCTTTTAAAATATATGCATAATTTATTTGGTATTATAAGTTTTCTCACATAATATGTTAAAATCGACTTGAACAGGTTGAACCCAATCCGACCCTTAAAATTCAAACGCCTTATCAAACCGTCTTGATCACTTAATCTGATTTGATAACCTTACTATTCCACGAGCTTGAATGTGATAGGGTTGGTGATACTGATAACCTTTGAATGTGATCCTCAAATCTTTAGCAACTAGTTTAGAGACATTGACAAAGAACTTATTGTTGGGTTTGTGTCCGAGCTACTTGAGAAGTCTAATTGGAGCTGGGGAACTTCTCGGAGACTGAATAAGATTAAGGGTTTGGTGTGGAAAAGATATTACGATTTGGAATGAAAAATGGACACCGAGAGAGGAATCTTTCCGCCTCGGATATCCCGATGAACATCATCTATCCACAAGCAACTATTGATTCTCTTTGATACATAATTCCTCATATTGGAATCTGGAGGTAATTAGGTCGCTTTTTCACCGAAGATGACGTTAAGGTGTGTTTATGCCAAGTCACCTACCACTCCCCACTGCTCCCACGCTCCGTCTATCCCCCGCACGCTTCTGCGCGGCGTCCTCCTCCTGCACACCAAAGGCGCCCACCGAGCCCCCTTTACAAGGGCTCGTTAGCACTCCGACGCCCAAGTCAGAACGAACTTTCTAGAGAGAGAAGCGGGGTATGAGTTTTAGAGAGAAGTTCTAACCTGAGTAAATGAGCTCCACCCACTTCACTATTTATACTCGAGGTAGGGTCGACCACTGCCCCCCAAATCCGCCCCACGTCATCACCTCATTAAATGCACTGTACCTTTCCCCTTTCATGCGCCCCGACACTCTGACACCGCCTCTTGCCATGGAGGCGCATGGCCCCACCTCTTGTCCCCTCCGTACGCTTTCGACCGTTGCCACCCTTTTGTCGCCGTGTGCCATTCCTCAGGCCCGGTCCCACCGCCTGGACCACAGCCTCTAGCCCTTTTTTGGGTCGGGCCTTCTCCTTGCCCGGCCCACACTTCCAGCCCATTTCGACCGCTTGGGCCCCTTACTTGAGCCACTCCTTGTATGCCCCCAACAAGGTGATTAACAAAATTCCCTTGCATAGCCTTAACAAGGAGGACTATCTGATTTGCACAGAAACTAGTGACAGGTGATTACACAGTCAAATCACGCTACTAGTTATACAGGAAAATGAAAGCCAGATTCCTCAGCAGAGCTCAGAGAGGAGGAAGTTATACTCTATGAAAAAGCTCAATGAGCTTAGGGTTTGGAGAGGAGAAGAAGAGAGAAGAAGGAGGTATGTGGAATGGAAAATCCGCAAAGAGCAGATCTCATTTGTACTCTGTATATATACTAAGTAAATAGTAAAGTTACAGCAACAGTGAAATGGAAATGTTTGTTAAACTGAAATTCAAAAGACAGTAAAAATAAATGCCATTTGTCTTCTGTTTAATTGGCCTCCTTTGCTCCACCTAACGGTCAACCAGAGACCTCCACGACGTCGCTTCAATCTTCCGCTTGAGTTAGATGGAGGGGTTCACGTTTCTGCCTTGAGTTGTTGCAGTACGTTTCGTTCTTCCTTCTTCCTCTGCCATCAACGAGCTCTGCAACTAGCCGTTGAGTTTCATTCTTCTTCCTGGATTGATACGCCCCCGCAAGCTGGCGAGTAGGCATCGAATACTCCCCGCTTGTCGAGAAGAAACTTCAGTCGATAGCGAGTAACACCCTTGGTAAAGATGTCTGCAATTTGATCATCTATTCTCACATGATTCAGCTTGATAAGTCCAGACTTCAATCTTTCTCTTGTAACGTGACAGTCGGTTTCAATGTGTTTCGTCCTCTCATGAAACACTAGATTCTCCGCGATGTGCAGAGCTGATTTGTTGTCACAGAAGAGGGGGATTGGAAGCGGTACCTGGACGCCCATTTCAAGCAGCAAATTCCCGAGCCATTGCACTTCACAAACCACTTGTGCTAATGCTCTGTATTCAGCTTCAGAGGATGAGCGAGAAACAATAGTCTGTTTTTGGTCTTCCAGGTAATAAGAGAAGTTCCCAGAAAGGTACAATAACCAGTCAAGGACCTCCTTGAATCAGGGCAACTAGCCCAATCAGCATCACAGAAACCTGACAACTCCAATTTTGAATCTGATCTGAAGATCAGACCTTGTCCAAGTGTATGTTTGAGATACCTGATGACCCTATGTGCTTCTTGAAGGTGTTCAACAGTTGGTGTGCCTTGAAACTGTGTCAACTGTTGAACAACATAGGTGATATCTGGTCTGGTGATAGTGAGGTAATGCAGCCTCCCTATCAATCTTCTATAAACTGTAGGATCAGGAAGAGCTTCCCCTTGTGTTGCTGTCAATTTCAAGTTGCAATCCACAGGAGAAAGACAACCCTTTGCCTCGAGATACCCTGTATTAGTGATCAATTCCAAACAATACTTCTTCTGACTCAAGGAAATTCCCTTGTGATCTATCAAAACTTCCAATCCCAAGAAGTAGCTCATTTGACCAAGGTCCTTTACCTTGAATTCTCTTCCAAGGAACAGTTTAAGTTGTTCTATGTCACTCAAATAACTTCCTGCAATCAAAATGTCATCCACATAGAGAAGGACAACCACAATCCTACCTTGAATCCACCTCACAAACATAGAGTAGTCTGAGGATGTTTGGGAATAACCATTCTTCATCAATGCAGTTGTTAATTTGGCAAACCATTGTCTGCTAGCTTGCTTGAGCCCATAAAGGGATTTCTTCAACTTGTAAACAAGTCCCTGCCCCCTAGGAACATTTGCTCCAGGAGGTATTTCAAGGTAAACTTCCTCATCTAAGTCTCCACGCAGAAATGCATTGGAGACATCCATCTGATGGATGTGCCAGTCCTTAGATGCTGCTACTGCTAACTAAGTCTTCACAGAGTTAATCTTAGCAACAGGTGAGTAGGTGTCTAGGAAGTCAATCCCATAGATTTGAGTATAACCCTTAGCCACTACTCTGGATTTGAACCTCTCAATAGTTCCATCATATTTGTGTTTAATCTTGAACACCCATTTTGAACCCACTGCCTTCTTTCCTTCAGGTAGCTTGACCACTTCCCAAGTTTGATTTTCCTCTAGTGCTGCTAGCTCTTCATTGCAGGCTTGATTCCATCTGGGATCTTTACAAGCTTCTGCATATGAGGTAGGTTCTTCATTTAGCATGACACTGAGTGCAAAGGCTCTCTGGGAAGGGGTAAGCTGTTCATAGGAGAAATGCTGCCAGACATGGTGTTTTGAGCAGGATGCAACAATGTTCACATGATAGTCCTTGTGCCATACTGGGACACTGCGAGTTCTAGTGGACTTCCTGAGATATTCTGCCTCATCAGAATCATTATCATCAAGAAAGACCTCTATCTCAGCATCCCCCCCCCCCCAGAATGCAAACCAGGAACCTCTGAGTGTGTGGAAGAAGATGGTTGTGTAGGATAAGAATCTGATGTTTGGTTAGGTAAGGTAGTAGGAGAGTGAGAGGTACAGGGTGCATTATGGGAAGTGTTGGAAGGGGTAGAAGAAGAAGTGGTTGGTATAGGTGAAAAAGTAGGAAGTATAGGGTCTGAAATGGGGACAAGAGCAGTGGAAGAAGAGGAAGTGAGAAAGGGGAAGATTGTCTCATAGAAGGAGACATCTCTAGAAACAAAGAAGGTGTGTGAGTTGAGATCATAGAGTTTAAACCCTTTTGATTCCAGAAGGGAAGCCAATGAAAATGCATTGTCTAGCTCTACTGTCAAATTTGGTTCTGTCTCTATGTAGAGTGGCAGCATAACAAAGACAACCAAATGTTCTTAACCCCGATAGACTTGGTGGTTTGTGATAGAGCATTTCATAGGGTGACTTGTTGTCAAGGACAGAAGAACGAATCCTGTTAATGAGGTATACTGCATGGAGAACACAATCACTCCAGAAATGGAGAGGCACACCAGACTGGAATCTTAATGATCTAGCCACATTCAAAATGTGTTGGTGTTTCCTCTCAACCCTAGCATTCTGCTCAGGGGTTTCAACACATGACAACTGATGCTCAATTCCATGAGCAGCATAGAACTCAGCCATATGGAATTCACCTCCCTGATCACTTCTAATGACCTTGACAGATTTTGAGAACTGCTTAGACACCATCACACAAAAAGACTCCAACAGATTACTAGCTTCTGATTTGTGTTTCATCAAATATGTCCAAACACCACGTGAATAGTCATCAACAATGGTAAGAAAGTAAGAGTATCCCTCATGGGAATTAACAGCAAGTGGCCCCCAGATGTCCACATGAATAAGAGAGAAAGCATCTTGTGCATGAGATGAACTAACAGGGAAAGAAAGCCTTTTGTGTTTGGCAAAATGACAGGTTTCACAATGAAAAACAGGTGAACTATTACAAGGTACTAAGAGTTTTTCTTTCTCTCTATGAAGATGTCCTAGCCTCCAGTGCCCTAGCTCAATGTTTTGTGGTGAGAAGTTGTAGGTGGCTGCTGCTAGTGGTGGTGATTGAGAAGGTGAAGGGGTCTTGAAGCTTAATTGATAGAGCCCTCTAATCTGCTTTGCCAAACCAGTCCTGCTGTGGGTCATGAGGTCCTGAATTTGGCAAGAGTCAGATTCAAAGTGTAAGGAGATGGGTAAATCATCTGTAAGTTTGCTAACAGAGACTAGGTTAAAAGAAAAACTTGGCACTAGGAGGACATTATCTAGGATCAGACCAGTAGGCAGTTTAACTCTCCCTATGTGACTAACAGCCACTTTGGTGCCATTTGGCAGGAAAACAAACAGGTTGTGGACAGGAGTGGATTCTATGAAGAGATCCAGGGTGCAAGCTATGTGGTCAGAGGCACCTGTGTCAAGAATCCATATGCCTACCAATCCATCTGTGTGATGTTGTAAGTGAGAAGAAAGAATATACTTACCAGCACTATTGGGGAAATGAGGAATGTGTTGTGATACTGAGAAGGCATGATGATTCAGTGATGGTGATGCTGGTGGAGAGGGACTAGGAGAAGAAGTAACTGAGTTCAGGAGGGACTTGAGCTTGTTCCGTTCTTCTGGAGACAAACCAAAACTCCCAGTGGAGTTCCTGGTATCAACACTTAGCTTAACATCTGAACTAGCAGAGTCACTGTCAGTGGAAGAATTACTCTGTGAGACAGCTGCAACCACACTTCCTCCTGCCATTCGAGCCTTCTTACGTTTCAGGCTATAACAGTCTTCAATGTTGTGGTTTTCTTTCTTGCAGTATCGACAGAATTTCTTGCCATCTGATGCTTCTGGAGGTCTCTGCTGATTCCCTGAGTTGTCTTGAACAACTAGGGCAACACTCTGAACACCCTTTGAACCACCAGCCTTATCACCCTTTATCTTATGCTCATGCTGCAGAAGATCATTCACTGCATTCTCCACTGTTGGCAGTGGCTTCATCATCAACAATTGGGTATGCACCACCTCGTACTCAAGTCTTAACCCCTTTAAGAAACGTATCAGGTATTCAACTTCTTGTTTCTGTTTGAATGCCTCTACAGCTGCACATGGGCGAGTTCTCTGGGCCACACAATCACATTCAACGATGGGATTGAACTGGAGGTTCTCCTCCCACAGACCCTTGAACGCAGTGTAGTACTGTGTGATGTTCTGGGTTCCTTGCTTACAAGAAATGATCTGGTCCTGGAGGTTAGCCAACTTAATAGTATTTGGGAGACCAAATCTCCTCTTCAACTCTTCCCAAAGAACCCTAGCATTCTCATGTTGCATTACACTACGCCTTATTTCCTTCTCGATTGAGTTAAGAATCCAGCATAAGACTAGTGTATTTGAGGCATCCCATAACCCATAACTGGGATCTTCAATTGCATGCATTGTAATACTACCATCAATGAACCCTATCTTGTGCTTAGTTTTCAAAGCCATGCGAATGGCTCGTTGCCACATTTGATAGTTAGATCCATCAAGGTTTTCAGAAACAATCGATTGGGAGATGTTCTCATTTGGGTTAATGTAAAAAGGGTTACCAAATTGAAGATCTCCACGGCCATTGTTGTTGCTGTTGTCAGTCGTTCCACTGGTCTGTGCACCAAACGACACAAAAGGAATAGCTCCACTACCAGGAGGAGTTTTTGGAGGTGTGTTTGCCATCACGAATCACTGGATCTGGTCCAGCTCTGATACCATATGAAAAAGCTCAATGAGCTTAGGGTTTGGAGAGGAGAAGAAGAGAGAAGAAGGCGGTATGTGGAATGGAAAATCCGCAAAGAGCAGATCTCCTTTGTACTCTGTATATATACTAAGTAAAGAGTAAAGTTACAGCAACAGTGAAAATGGAAATGTTTGTTAAACTGAAATTCAAAAGACAGTAAAAATAAATGTCATTTGTCTTCTGTTTAATTGGCCTCCTTTGCTCCACCTAACGGTTAACCAGAGA